TGTGATGCAGGCCAAACAATGAATTCACGCAACAAAATAGGTCATCTTTGCACCGCGCGGGCCTGATTAGGTTGTAATGTAGGCAATCAAAGATGCCCTATATGAAGCCCTTTGCTTTCATTTGTCGAGCAAACACACATAACTAGTGAGGCCAACGACTAAAGGGGCCGACCCGTTTAGTGTCGCAAAAATTCTGGTTTTAGGAACTCTCTAGAAGATTTATGACTAGTTCAGTTCTGGTCTTCTTCTTTTTCTTGTTCTTGTTGTTTCTTTTACTAATTTTTTAGTTCATTTTAATTTTAATTTCATTTATTTTTTAAATATCCTATTTTTATGAAAATGTTTGGAATTTGTAAAAAAATTGGATTTCAAAAAAATGTTTACATTTAAAAAAATTCTACGGAATTTTAAGAAAAATGCTCTTGTTTTCACAACCTTTTCACCAATTCAAAAATTATTCATGTTTATGTTGTTCAGAATTTCAAAAAAAAATCTTGCTTTCAAAATTTGTTCAGAAAATAAAAAATTGTGTCCATTATCAAAATTTGTTCAGCAATTTTCAGAAAATGTTCATGTTTTTAAAATGTTTGGAATTTCAAAAACAAATCGCAGTCTCAAAAACATTCATACTTTCAAAAAAATGTTCAGAAAGTTCAAAACTTGTTCGTTTTTCAAAGATGTTCAAAATAAAAATAAAAAACCGGTTGCTACAGTGTCCTGTTTGCTACAGCGGGGCCGCTACAACGAATCGGTTTGCTCCAGTGTACCATGCGCTACAGGCATAGTAAATGAGTCGACCCATTCATGCCTCGTTGTGCTTCGGGGTCTCTATTGGATGCGGAGAGCGTCGCATGGGACTTCTCGTTCGCTACTGCATGTGTGGTTGCGTGCTACCGTGCGCCTACAGGCAGTAAAGGAATATTACGATGCTTGAATGTAGATTCAACGGCTAAAAAAATTGTCAACTTTCACACAGTTTTCGGCAACTTCAATTGCATTGCATGGCTCCATTCAAATAAGGCTACAATGAGAAGCTGGTGCTAGGATATTGATGTTCTAGCAACTAGCATGACTACAAAATCAGAGAGTTTTATATACCGTAAGCTATGCTAAGAAGGAAGTCTTATGCACAACAACACGGTCGTAAATGTTGTTTCCAGTTTCACCATAGACAAATGTTGCTCTGTTTAGTTCATAAAAAATGGATGACCTGTCTTTGAAAAGTATCCATGATGTAATGTTGCTCACACATATAGTACATGGGATCAAATAATAAAATGGGAAGGGTCTCATCCAACCTTTTCTCAATCAAGTTTTGTCCCTTTCCATTAAAATAAACAAGGAAAAACATCTCACGGATAGAAAATAAAAGACTAGCTTGATGCACTGATAGTAAACTTGCTACTCGTACTCGGACTTGAGTACTAGTTGCGCAATAAAAAACTGCAAGTACCGGCCAAAATGCTTGCAACTAACACATTATATGCCGATCTCGGGCAACAGAGGGAATATCATAAGTGCTTAGGCATGCATTGAGGTGCATATAATTACCAGCTGGCAGCAGTGGGGAAGGCAGTATATGGGTACACAATCTCCATGTCCTTAACGGCCTCATGCACCTTCTTGAACTCCATGGTTTTAGGACATAGAATGAATATACCGACCATGGTCCACAAAAATAGCGCGTCTCCCTCCTCGGTGCTCCCGATGATCTTCACCCGCGGCATCATCAGGAAGCTAGAGTCTACCTTAGGTAATGTGACCTTTGACAAGCATGCAATGGCCTCCCCCAGATCAACCGAGGTGCGTAGTACCCAACCATTGTAGGCTCCCCGAGCCCACATACGCAATGTGAGGTCCTCCACGGAGGCAAGGCCGAGTCGTCCACCACCATCAACCTTCATTAGACGGGCATTTCCTCCATTCGGCCGCTCGAACACAGTGAGAGTGCTCTTGTCCATGTCGTAGGCCAACACATGGTAGTCATTGAGAGGTTGGTACATAGTGTTAAAGATGATGACACATGGCTCCACACGGATGTCACACAACAACGGGAGATCCACCGGCGTGGGCGGCAGGCTCCACTGGCCAGTAAGTGAGGAGTAGACGCCGGCATGAACACGACCCTGAGAATCATTGTGGACAAGGGCCACACGAAATGGACTTGTGGGTTGTTGGCAGCAAACTTGGTGGCCATCGTTGTCATCAACCACACAGAGCAATGCAGCATTGCTATTCTTCTCGGTGTACTCCTCCCAGCGACTAGATTCGGCATTGATTAGGCGGTAGTGGCCAGTCATTGGGTGCCACACGAGGAACCAACGGCCGTTACGGAGGAGGACACGGCCGTGACGGCAATCCATAAACGTCCATGAGTAATTGCCATCATTAGGAAAACGAAAGGATAAGCTAGTGGTGTCGTTGATCTGTACGAACGGGCGGGGAAGTGTATTGGAGTTGTGGAAGAATCCCATGACCACTGGTACAACATGGCGTGCATGGCACCGGTGGAGGAAACCAGGAGCATCCACTATGCGGCGCCATGCTTTGCAAACGACGGAGGCGTGGGCGATTGTCTGCGGACTTGGCGGGATGTGCTCCAGGATCCCAGGGTGCAATTCATACGGTATGGTGGGGACCATAACTGCAAAATTATTGGATTAGCTTTGAGATTTAGATCTACAATGCATTGTAAGTAGCCAAAATTTACCTTTTAACTTCTAGTCGATTTTTCTAGTGCATGGAGATCCCACCTTCTTTTCTTCTTCGTCAACCAAATGAGTCAACTCGCTAGCGCCATCACTAAGAGGATGTGCCAAAGGTGTTGCCTCCAACAAGAGAGAGACCGCCGACGAAGTGATTTTACGGCGGCGACAAATTCCCCTTGATGAAAAATTACGCGCCTCCTCCTCCCTCCTCCCGCTATTATCTTTTTGTGGGATGCGCCCTAGACATCACCACTCATTGTCTGGAGGCGACATCGACGACCACCGTGAAAGTGGATGAAGAGTGTCAACACATAGATCACTTGGAAGAGGGAGATGGGCAGCAAAAAAGATAGATGAGGGTGGATGGAGAGAACGATGTGAGGAATGCGGCGGCGGCGAGATGGGGGGGGATGGTTTAGGGTTAGGTTCAAGTGGTATATTTATTGGCTCCCTGAGCGGATTGTGATGGTTGGATGTGGATCCAATGGCTACAAAATTTGTGTGTGCGTTCACACAATATTTTAGGCAACTTTTTTTTTGGAAGGTACCATTGAGGCAGACTGTGCCAAAAAACATGTGCTAAACACTGGGCCGGTCCTGAGATTTTAGGGGCTAGGAGGAAACTAAAACTCAAGGCCCATAATATAAAAATCACAATAATATTCAATATAGATATTTTCTATCCACTTTGATATTGGAGATGCAAGTTTGGGGAATTAACCATCTAAATTCCTTCAAGATAATGCTTTTGCAGCACCATTACAGAACAAAAAAAAATTGATCATTTGAGTTAAGCAAATAAGTTCACAAATAATTTGATGCAGCTTAGGGAGTAGACATCGTCTCATAATCAAGGAATGCAACTATGTACAGTATTTGTCTTCCTTCAGATTCGGTAGGTTTTGTACCACCCACCACATTTTCTTCATTTACTAATTTTTTTTAGTTTTTGATTGACAAAGTGTACATTCTAGTATAACTCAGAATCAAACATGTGCTCCGACCTACTTTGCGCTACTAACATCTCCTACACTACATAACTGCCGTGCCTTGTGTAAATATATCCTATCGACAAGGGTACACACTTTGACTTGCCACTAGAGTCAACGATGCCGACAAATAACAATTCATAATCGAACAATAAGGTCGGGGCTCCTAATTTTGCAACGCTAAGTGAAAATCCTGCCAATTTTTATCAGTCGAGAGGAAGGAAGGGTACTAATCTCAAAATCCATGCAACCCCACAAGATTCGATAAAAAAAGAGTGAAGCGATCCTTACCATAGCCTGGCGATGAGTCTACATGCATGCTCTTTCTCCATCGCCGCCGCCGCCGGCATCAGCAGCGATGATCTTGGCGTGGATAAAAGTTTGGCGTGGGAGTTGGGTGTCGACGACGAAGAAAATGAGACGCATGCATCGTGCGCTACTAGTACTCCCTTCGTTCGGAATTAATTGTCTCGGATATGAATGTATTTAAAACTAAAATACATTTAGATATATCAATTTCTGCAACAAGTAATTCGAACGGAGGAAGTATTTGCCAACGACGGTCATGCCGCTCGTGCACTGTGCCAAGCCCAACATCTTGGCGTGTTCTTTTAGTTTTGGCATGGTTGCTGTTTGCCACTGTGATCCCGAGGCAAAAAGTGATGGTGACTTTAGCTCCGGCGAATCCTATCGAAGCTCTCTGCTTCGATTTGTCGAGCAAACACACACACCAAGAGGCTAGTGACTAACTGGGCCGGCCTGTTTAGCACAAATCTTGGTGTTAGAAACTTTCTAGAAGGTTTCTCACCGGTTCACGTCTTATTTTTTCTTGTTGTTTCTTTTAGCATTTATTCTGTTTGTTTTCCATTTTATTTTTAAAAATGATTGCCTTCGAAAAAATGATCGATTTTTTAGAAAATTTAAGAATGACCATTTCTCAAAATTTGTGTCGAATCTTAAAAAATCTCAATTTCAAAACTTGTCCAGAAATTTTAAAGAATGGGTTTTAGTAAAATGTCCGCATTTACAAAAAAAATGTTATTCTCTTCATAATTTATTAAAATTTTCTAAAAATGTACCCATTTTTAAAATTTGTTTGGATTTTTTAATGTTCTTGTTTTTAAAAATGGTTGGATTTTTTTAAAAAAACCATAGTCTCAAATAATGTTCCATATTTCAAAAAATGACCGCAATCCCAAACAATGTTTGTAAATTTCAAAATTTGTTCGCTTTTCAAAATGTTCAAAATAAGAAGTGACTAAAAACAGGTTGCTATAGTAACCCAAGGCTACCGTGTCTGGTTCGCTACATCGGGGCGCTAAAATGAACTGGATAGCTACGGACCTACAGTAGGAGTCGCTAGAACGGATCGGCCTGCTATAGTGTACCATGCGCTAGAGGTGCAGTAAATGGGTTGGTCCAATCGTGACTTGCCGTGGATGGAGGTCCCTATTGGACGCTGAGTGCGTCACATAGGACCTCTCGTTAGCTACTTCGTGTGTGGGCTGCCTGCTGACTGAAACATAATGTTAGCCTACCTTTTCCATCCCTGATGAGCCATTGGCCCATGGACTACCTGTGAACCCTGGGTGGGGCATGTGGTTTTAGGAGCTTGGGATGGCCGCCACCTCGCGCCCTCCCCATGGGCCAGTTCTAATTCTAAACATTCACTACGCTTTCAGCGGCCTAGAAAACATAACTATTATTTTTTCTGTCCCATAATATAAAGGTGTTTTTTAATTAATGTAGTGTCAAAAACGCTCCTGGTCCGGAGTCGGAGATGAGGAGAAAACCACCAGGTCCGGCGTTGGAACTGACACGAGGCAAGGCGTGAAGATGTACAAGGACGGAGAGGCGGCGAGTTTCAACAGAGATACCTTGCAAAAGTTAGTTTAGGGTCCGTTTATATATACAGGTTTATTTATTTAGTAAAGCAAAACCGATTATTTAGGCGTTGGGAAGGAAATAGGCTTGGATCCGCATCCCGCCCGTGCCCGTCCGTCCAAAGCTCCCGCCACCCTCCCTTGCCCACTGACAACCAGTCCTACAGGGCAGCAACCGGCCAGGCCCACACGGCAGTCGCACAGATCTGCCCCGCTGGCCCACCACATTTGGTGCTCGCTCCGTCCGTCATTTCCCTCCCCTTCTCTCTCTCCGTGCCTCTCCGATCCAAGCGAGCAACCGCCCGCGCCCTCGCGGCCCCTCCACCGCTCGTCTCCAATGCCACCGTCGCCGCCGCCGCGGCCGTCCCCGTAGGGTCTCCCGCCGATGGGGAACAGCTGCGTCGGCGCCGGCCCCAACGGCGCCGGCCGCAGCGGCTTCCTCGCCTCCGTCGCCATATGGCGCGCGAAGCCCGCCGAGCCGGCGCCGGCCCCCGACACCTCCCCGGCGTCCACCTCCGAGCAGAAGGCGCCCGAGCCCGTCACTATCCCGCCCGACGAGCACTCCTCCTCGCACGGCGGCGTGCGCTCCTCCGACCCGCCGCCCCCCAAGCGCGCCGAGACGCAGCGGCAGATGTCGATGGCCCCCACGGCGAAGAAGCCCGTGCCCAAGGTCAAGCGCGTCCAGAGCGCCGGCCTCCAGGCCGACTCCGTCCTCAAGCGCGACGTCAACACCGCCAAACTCAAGGACCTCTACACCATCGGCAAGAAGCTGGGGCAGGGCCAGTTCGGCACCACCTACCTCTGCGTCGAGAAGGCCACGGGGAAGGAGTACGCCTGCAAGTCCATCGCCAAGCGGAAGCTGCTCACCGATGAGGACGTCGAGGACGTGCGCCGCGAGATCCAGATCATGCACCACCTGGCCGGCCACAGCAGCGTCGTCTCCATCGTCGGCGCCTACGAGGACGCCGTCGCCGTGCAGCTTGTCATGGAGCTCTGCGCCGGCGGCGAGCTGTTCGACAGAATCATCCAGAGGGGGCACTACTCCGAGAAGGCCGCGGCGCAGCTCACCAGGGTGATCGTCGGCGTCATCGAGGCGTGCCACTCGCTCGGCGTCATGCACAGGGATCTCAAGCCCGAGAATTTCTTGTTCATCAATAATCAGGAGGACTCGCCGCTCAAGGCCATTGATTTCGGGCTCTCCATCTTCTTCACACCAGGTATATATGGCCGCCTTTATAATGCAATGTAATGCTGTGTATTTCTTCGTGATATGTATGTTTCGATGGTGCGATTCCCTCACGTGGCCGAATTTACAATTGATTTAGCGTAATGTGGTTTGTTTATGCGAAAATTGCCATCTGCAAACATCGGCTCTGTATCATAATCGAAAGCTAAAATGGATGAAATGCTTGGCCACTTGTTCTGCACGGGCTATCATTGCTGCCGTTAGTATCATTGCCTAATCAGGATGTAATAATCTATTTACGTTCTTCTGCCGGTTCCTTTAAAAATTTGACGCTTGTAACCATGATTTTATTATAGAATAGCCAGTGCTCATGCCATTTTCCTGAAAAACTGACTCCGAAATCCAAATTCATCGCTCTGCCACGATGCAAGTTGTTCGCTGGGTTTTCACTGCACAACTGACAATTGGCATTCATTTTGGCAGTACAGTCCAATTCTATAGCAAATATTTATTGTTTTCTACTACTGTACTAAACATTTCAAACTTAGAGCATTTTGAAGTGCCTGATAACAACCGTAGGCCATCTTTTTTAATTAACCGAAGGTTGCTCCTTGGCCCACCGGGTGCACATAAGACAACCTGATTAGGATGAAAAACATTCTTGATTGCCAGTTTCTTTCTGAGCCGTGAAATAGCAACTTAAGTAGATTTGCACCTGCAGATCCTCACCGCTTTTCTTAGAGACAGGGCTAGTACTAGATATGAAGTGTGTGGTACTCCCTCTGTCCCATAATATAAGAGCGTTTTTGGCACAAGTGTACTGTCAAAAAACGTTTTTATATTATGGGACGGAGGGAGTAGCTGTTATCTGTGTTCTGTCCCTGAATTACTAGCTACAGAGAACGAACCCTATCGATGTGCGATGATGCTCTTACACTCTCTACCAAATTATTTCCAAACACTATTTTATTTTTGTTCTGACGCATAATGTAATTGATTGTGCAGGTCAGATGTTTACAGATGTAGTTGGAAGTCCATACTATGTTGCACCTGAGGTTCTTCTAAAGAACTATGGGCGTGAAGTTGACGTCTGGAGTGCTGGTGTAATAATCTATATCTTGTTGAGTGGGGTTCCTCCATTCTGGGACGGTGAGGTTATGTGTAACTGTTTTAGTAAAATGCCGCATTACGATTTTGCGTAATGTATGCAAGCTGCATCCGACTGATTTTGCTTGTGGTTTTTCGAGCAGAAAGTGAACAAGGGATATTTGAACAAGTTTTGAAAGGTGAGCTGGACTTTACAACTGATCCCTGGCCTAGTATCTCAGAGAGTGCGAAGGATTTGGTCAGGAAAATGCTTAATCGTGATCCAAAGAAGAGATTGACTGCCCACGAAGCGCTATGTGAGTACTATGGTAGTGCAGCTACAAGTATAAGTCGGCACTTAATGAATAATAAGTACTCGCCGCTACTTTATATAAATGTCCTCTAATCACCCGTCTTGTGCTAGGTCACCCTTGGGTTTGTGTTGATGGAGTTGCTCCTGATAAACCTCTTGATTCTGCTGTCCTAAGTCGGTTAAAACAATTTTCTGCAATGAATAAACTTAAGAAAATGGCCCTTAGGGTGAGTATTGGTATTAAATTTGTAATTGGTGTTATACAATCTGTATTCATGTTGATGTTCTATTTTACATACAATTGTAGGTTATTGCCGAGAGTTTGTCTGAAGAAGAGATTGCAGGATTGAAAGAAATGTTTAAAATGCTAGACAGTGATAACAGCGGTCATATCACATTGGATGAGCTAAAAACTGGCTTGCGGCGAGTTGGTGCTACTCTGATGGACTCAGAAATTGATGCTTTAATGGAAGCAGTAAGTATTTTAAGATGATCTCTGTACATTTGTTCCTCAACTACACAGAAATTATTGACCACTGTTCAAAAAAGTTGTTCCTCACCTGGACAATCTCCTTACTCTTCAATTGAGGTTAAATAAATTTCTACCATTTTCATATGTTGAAAATAAATAAATAAAATTGCGATTAATGCCTACATACCCCCTTTAGTTTTTTGTGGTGGAGATAGGAACTTTTTGGAGTTTGGGCAAGCACCACTTGGCCAAGAATCCTGTGCCTCAATCCTACTCAGTAGGCAATGGCTACTCTGGCTGGTGCCCACGCTGCCCAAACGCCATCTTGATCTCACTTGAAAAATATATTTTTTGTTAAACCTGCTTCATTTGGAACCGTCTGTCAGCTTAAGAGTATCATTTTGCGTAGGCAGAAAACAACTGTTGTTAGGACGCTTACTGTATTTTCAGATACGCAATAGTTGCGGAAGTTTATCAAGTAGTTACGGTTATGATGATACTGTTTTCGTTTTTGACTCTGCTCCAAATGAAATACAAGCTCATTTCATGAAAATGTCAGGCCGATATAGATAATAGTGGTACCATTGATTATGGGGAGTTCATTGCTGCAACTATGCATATGAACAAAGTTGAGAAGGAGGATAAGCTCTTTGCAGCCTTCCAATACTTTGATAAAGACGGCAGTGGTTACATTACTCAAGATGAGCTCCAAAAGGCATGTGAGGAGTTTGGTATTGGAGACACCCGTATTGAAGATATTATCGGAGATGTCGATAAGGACAATGTAAGTAGATTCATTGTTCAGGTTTTAAATTGCCAACAACAGTTTTGTCTCATTGTCCACCACCTTTTGCAGGATGGAAAGATCGACTACAATGAGTTTGTCGAAATGATGCAGAAAGGAAATAATCCACTGGGTAGAAAAGGACAGCAAAGCAATGTGAACTTTGGTCTTGGAGATGCACTGAAGCTTCGGTAAACTGAGGTAACATATGGGTGTCTTCCCTACTGATTGATAATATTAGATATTCTTCCCAAGTCAAAATCGTATGATTTTCATTTGCCTTACCAGAGTTAGATGAGTTGTTTCAGTCTATGATCAGTTATCTGTATGATAGGATACAATCATATGACTGATAGCATAACATTCATCCAGTTATTTGAATTATATTGATGTATCATGCGTCGACACTAGTACAGTTCAAATACAAACCATGGGAAGACAAAATTTCCAGTGAACTAATTGTGATGGTTGTGGTAGACTATTTGTGTGGTGAATGTTATGCAGATCCTCCATAAGAATATGTGTTAAAATAAGCAATTCCAACTGCAGTAGCCCAAAGCCCAAAACTCTGAAGTCCATTCTGAATCCTGAACTATTGAGTTTGGTCCAACTTGAACCCTAAACTATGAAACCATCTCTATCTCTATTATATCCTGAACTTTCTAAAACCATTTAAAACCTAGACGGTCTTGAAAAGTGGTTTTGTATTTCAGCCTTTAAGGAAACGTGAAAAAAATCATGGATGTAGGGAATGCTATTATTTATGTCATGTTGGTTGATGATTATTTTTCGTTCTTATATTAAGCTTCTGCGCAACAGTTAATTGTTTTAATATTTTTATAGAACCTCGGAATATAAAACCACCTTCTAAACAGTAACATGGTTATTTAGGGTAGTTTCACATTTTCTAAGTTTTGGAAATGTAAAAAGATTGTCTTTTGTACAAGTAGGGAACCTGCAAAAGTTTATTTAAAAAGTATGACACAAATAGGCACATTTTTTTTGTGAATTGCAGGTTATAAACTACTAGCATTCTCTACGTCTGTTAAAAAGTACATTTTTTAGAACACCTAAATACAAAACCAAGCTACGGCTGAACTTGAACAATTCTAGAAAATTTACACTTCAATAAGGATGGTTTAATTCAGGGTTCAAACTGGACTTGAGACCATAGTTCAGGGTTTAAAGTGGATTTCTTTCTGCCTATTTGAGAAATAAGACGAGTAAAAAAGTTTTTGGACTTCTGAAAGAAAAGGGCACACATTCAGTCCATGTCCACATTCAGATATGTTATTAATGCCTTCAAGCCATCATTACATGAAGCAACAGGCTGCAACTTCCACTATGTGGTAAAGTTACGAGCAATTCATTTCACAGGTGTTGAAGTCTACAATCATACAAAGCCACCAGATTTTTACTGGCATACATATTCGTAATGATAAATAAATTAAGGTTCATTCTTCCGTTAAACAAAGAAGAAGATTAACTCCTTGAGGAGTATGTATCCGAGAAAGCAGAGCAATAAATAAGTGGCGAGGAGTAAACTATTTTGACATGAAAAAGGTATTCCCTCCGATCCATATTAGTTGTCACTCAAACGGACGTATCTAGCATACATCTTCGTAAAGTGTTAATATGGATCGGAGGGAGTACAGAAAATCATGATAAGCTTGGTGTCCTTGATAAGCTGGTTTGGTTTTCTTAATAAATGTGCATTTTATGTGATTTCTTCGTACTAAGTGAAATAGAGTACTATGCATTAATTAGAGCTGTTGTTTCTGTTCAGGTAAAATGAGATTCAAGCAACCCTGCCAAAAAGAAGAGATTAAAGTGCAACCAAAACGAATACTTGCTAAACTAAAAAAGTTTCTGAATTCTTGTCCTAGTTGGGTACTGGCTTACAGCATTTTCAGGTCGTAGATATAAGTTCCTCATACGCACAGATACCTTCAGACTTCAGTTGTTAAAATGGAGGTGGAAAAGGCTGTGTAACTGTAACCCAGCAGCTCTGCAGCTGTGCTCACTGTTTTTGTTCTGGTTTCTCTACAGGTGTAGTTAACCAAATGCCATTCAGCGACCCACAAAAGATAACCCAGCAGCAGAGTAGCTCCCACAGCTTGTCGCACGCAGGCAGGTATTCAGATATCAAGATTTCATGGCACCTCGGTCCGAGTTTTGGTGGGTCGGGTCTATGAACTCTTAAGGCTGAAGTGAAACCAATTTCGGCGGGAGTACCAAAAGCCTCTCACAAGAGCTGACATTAGGGTGTTCCCAACATGACATCGTATGATATGATTCTCTTAATTAATTTACATCAACAAGAGCATCGGCCGGTAAGAAATGCTCGGCGAAACCGCCATGTACACGTGTTGTAAGTAAAGCATGAGAGTTGAGTAGGAGAGGTGTCCTTTTCTTCTTCTTCAGTTTTTCCCCTCGTTTCTGAAACCAGCGGCAGGGAGACCCTAAGCCATGGGAGGAAGTGGAAACTCCAGCTGCTACCTTTGATTCTCTTCATCTGTATTATTGGATAGCGGTTTAGTATGCCTTGGCCTTTTGTGAGGGTAGGTTGTCTGTGTGTGTGTGTTCTGTAGGCAAAAAGAAATGTCTGACCAATGAAAACCGATTCTCCTGCTATTATTGTCCGTTTTTCGACGTTGTAAGAACAGTGGTGGCACGGACTAATTAAAGCCTGATGATGACGATGATGAAGAAGATGTGCATCTTGTGAGCTTGTGACCTATTGGTCTGTCAATTGCTCTGCCTGAGTATCTTTTTCGACGACCATCCTTAGTCGCTGTCGCTGCCGGCCAGGCTTAATGTTACTGATTCTCTTGTGAAGGTGTCGTTTTAGCTGATGTAGGAAATGGTAGAGCAGTGGGCAATGGTATATGCCGTATTGCAGTCCAAGACTCCCAAGGTCCAAAACTGCGGTGGGCGACGCTGGTGATCTGCACGCACAGTTTTGGTTGTGGTTAAGAGCAGTTGGAGCATAAAAAGGATGAAACAAAATAAAAATCAGGAAGGGCCCAACCGGGTTCGAACCGGTGACCTATTGATCTGCAGTCAATTGCTCTACCACTGAGCTATGGACCCTTTGATGCTAGTAACCATGAAAGAATATATATCTTGACATGTTAACTCGTAAAATTTGTACTACAAAAAGTTCACTTAGTTTCAAAGAAACCACGAGGTACTTCGCCATGGTAGCACGGCAACAAGTTAATTACGATTGTGAAAAGAACATTTGGACGATCTGTATTATAATCAAACATACTTCAAAGATAAACACAATTCAAAACACATCCCGAGACACCGCATAAAATACACATCCCAAGAAAAAAGTTTGAAGCGAATGGTGACCATTTTCTCTTGCTCTCTGCGCCAATATTTGCACTGGAACTTGTCTTTTTCGTCGCACCTCTGAATCAAATTTCGATTTGGAAATTTATGGCACCATTGATAAAACTTGTGACAATTCTGAGCGCAATGGTAATTAAACATACATTGATAAAACTTGTGACAATTCACAGGAGCTCTCACTAGAAAACTTTTGCTTCTAGACCCCGATGAAAGTCCAAATTGGCAACAGTTAGAGAATCGGTTGAAGAGTCCCTTAGCGTGAAACCCTAATCACCACAGACGATCCAACAACAAGAGCAAGTAGGCACCCCAGATTTCGTTGTCACCGCGATTCCCTCACCTCCGCCGGCTGCTCTTGCAGTGGCGAGAGGGAGGGGAAACCTGGGGCCTTTTCTTCACATGCATTAAGTACTCTAGACTAGATGTCTTAGTTTGGTCTTTGGATGTACATGGCTTCGGCTTCGACAGTGTCGATGGTGGTGGTGAATAAGTTTCCTCCAGATCTCTTATAGAACTGATGACTCTATTGACTATCGTTGTTGGGTCTGGGAGCCAGTGTCAAGTGTTCTTGGGTCCTTCATTTCTGTGCAGGCACTTCATGCGTCCTCGTGTTCGTGTCGAGGTAATGGTTTTCTTCTTCCTGCTCTTTGCGGCGTTGATGGTGCGTGCAACCAACATCATGGACGGCGGAAGGCCATCCCTTGCCATGGGGGTGATGTCCCCCTCACTCGTTTTTTTGCGGCAACGACGAGATGATGGTCTTCTTTTCTTGCCCTTGGGGCGTCTCCCTGACGCAACAGGCCGTTCTTTGGTGGTTTGTGGTCCCTCTCTGCCGCAACGACGTTCTCTTTATCGTCATTGCAAAGCTGGCAAAAAAAAAGTTTGGGACATGGTTCGGCTCCAAGATTTCTGACCTACAAGGATTCTATGGTAATGGCTTCTTCTCCGGGGTGTTGGTACAACTGAATCTTAGCATGACGACTTCCCTCGCAAGATACAATGTTAGCCGGCTCCTACGATGGAGCGGCAACAGTGACGCACCTTCAACTTGTTCTAAAGATTGAGTTTGTTTGGCTCAATGAGAACCATGTTGTAATTTCCTTGTTTTGGGGATATCTTGTATTGTTGAACGCTTCTAATACAATTCCATTGCCTTATTCACACACACAAAATAGAGGATTAGTGGATGGAAACGTTTCTTTCATCCTATTGTTGGCTTTAAATAGATTAATTTGTAGATTTATACTTGTATGCAAGTGTATGGGCTTTATCTCCATGAGATCTTTTTTTGGCACAAAGATCAATGGGATATTGTTGCACAAATTGCTAAAGAAGCATTGTTTAGAACATGGTTGGCAGGTTGGGGATACCAGCCTTTGATTATTGCATCTACGTGAGGGAGAGCACACACTAGGTGTAGATGTAGTACATGTCGCGTGTCATACATTGCCAATTGATTAGGACACCTCCCCTGTTAGATAACCCTTTGTGCATTTTTCCTCTAATAATGGCTAAAGTATCTTATTATTTAGTAGTACTTATTTAAAGGCGAGATGTATTTCTTAAACCAAAATGTCACTACAATGACCATGTTTCTCCACACCTTGGAACAACACATCACCCTCTACTTGTACAAAACTTAGCAAGTCTGACATTCTTTTGTTCGTAGGATAGGAATATAGTAGGAATAAAAAAATCATAGGAAATAAGATGACATGTATCTCAATTCATATGGAGAAAGAAATGTCACTTGATTCATAGGATAGAAACTTTTTCACTGGGTCTAGGCTAATATTTTCATTCCATTGAAATGTGAACGGTTTTTTTCTTGGACA